GTCCACAGTCTCACTGGCAGGACGGTCCATTCCATGCGGCTGTTTTCTTTTTTTTTTTTGTATTTTGGGAAAATGTTCAACAGGGGAATCGAGGGAGTCTGACTGCTAATATTGTGTACCATGCTTAGCGCCTCTGTTGTCATTGCAGGAAGTTGCAACAGTTTGGGGCATTGTAATTGCTTTTTTGTTTGTCCCTGCGAGGCAAGGGCGCTTTTTGGGTGAGCCCGGGAATTGCAGCAAATTTTTAATTAGATTTTTTGATTTTTTTCCTGCCATTTTCAGGGCGATTTTTCTGTTTCAACCGCCTGAGGTTCTGTTTTCAGTGTTTTACCAACAGACACCAGCCTTAAATTGGGTTTCCAAGGTTTTGGCGAGGGGTAGAGAACTTGGGCACATTTGTTAACGAGTTAGAGCGAAGATAAAGCGGAAGTTATGAGCCATGACAAATCGTTCGATGTTCGTTTTCTAAATTACTACAAGTGGAATTTTAATTCCTTTCTGTGGTTTCGTCGTCGGAAGTAAAAAATTTAAAGCAGAGGATAAAGTTTTTATAAGCAAGATATATCTTACGAACTTTGTTGTTTAATAAAATAAAATTTTCTCCAAATTAAACATTCCTTAAAAGTGTTCGCTTTTATTTTCTATCTGTAATTCAGCGTATGCAATTAAATTAATTAAAATGCCATTTCATTCAGCAATAAAGAAGCTTATCCTTTGTATCTGAAACTTAAAAAAACTCAACCGCATGTTAAAACCGAAAACAGCTGCTAAAAGTTTTCCCCAAACCTCAAAATAAACAAAACCAGAGCACATATAATTAAATACGTTCTGAGTATTCAATTGCGGGGGTGTCGAAACGGGGGAAACCCAAGCAAGCCCATGGTGGAAACTTCATTGCAATTATGAAATTTTAGACATTTTGATGTACTGCAGCATGTAAAGCTCCCCTTACTTTCCATCCTTTGTTGTCCGAAAAACGTTGGCCACAAAAGTTGTTTGCCTTGGAAAACATGAGACGAGTGTCTACGATATGGGAATACTGAAAGCACAGTATTTAAATGTTTCTGGTAAGGGGAGTTTTTTGGGGGTTTTTGTGCTGGAAATCAAAACTGGGTGGAAATCAAATTGCGCATTTGATTATGAAATCGGATACATTTTGGGGCTGCTCGTATGCAGTTTTTACTGGCAAAACCTTAATTAAAACTCGTTAATGTCTTCGGGCTGGGTTGGATGGTTTTCGGTAATTCAGTTTGTTCAAGAGATCTCCTCCCCCAGAGAATCTAAAAATCAGGTAATTTCTTAGACATTAATTCTCATTCTTTCGAGCTTAACTGAAAGTTCCAATAAACCATAAAACTCAATTGAATGGTTGTAAATTCACTTTTATTTCCGGTAGTAATTGAAAGTGCATTTTCCCACCTTCCGACTGAACTGAGTAACCAATGGCAAAGGCAAACAATGGATGAGCTCTGATGCTGCTGGAAAGAACCACATAACATCAATTATAAGTGCACTCGATAAATTATTTCCAAGTATTAACTCGGCTTTCAGGCACTTCAACAGCTGCAGCACAGGTGGAATCGAATTTATACACATAAGTACCTTTCATGGCTAGATGTGTATTTACAAAAATTATTTTACTTTACTTTAGTTTGCAGCTGGTTTGCCAAGGAAAACTAACCCGAAGAATTTTCATCTTCTCCTTTCTTCATGACCTCTGTTTTTCATTTTGTTTTCCAGTTGGAGAGTATGTGTGTGTGTGTGTGCCTTAGTTTAAAATGTGCACGTGCTGCTTTTGGTGTGTTGGTGTTGGTGTTAAGCACTTCCGGTTGGCTGCTTGACTGCTCACCTGACATGCGTTTGCCAACGACTGGCAGCAGGATTCCCGGGGAAAACCTCTGTGGCTTCGTCCCGCACTTGCACCTCTTGGCTTCTGACAGATCCCAATACCTCCCCCCGCCCAAACGTCCGGGTTTGATTTTTCATTAAGTTTTCAGGGGAACAGCTCCCCTGTAAGTCACTTGGTTTTTTTTACCCGGGTATCGTTAGTAAAAATTATTTTCAATTAGCTAACTACACAACTGCTGAACATGCAAATGGATGGGCCACTGCTTTCGGTTTCGTTATTTCGTTATATAGATTCTCGAACTCTGCTCTGCTATTTCCACTTTCCTTATTGCCTTAAAAATGCAAGGATATCAGGAGCAGATGGGTAAACTCATCTCTAATTGAATTAAAGAATATGACAGTTTGTTTCAGCAGAGAACAGATTGTTTTGGAGTATTAGTTCATACCTAGCTTAATTAAGTTAAATATAAAATATATTCCTTGTATTAGATACATTTGGTTAATTTAGTTTTACCCAACTAACCTGCCAGAAAAACACTCTTAATGTTATTTTATCTCATTGCTTGCACGTGCATATGTAATCAAAGCTTATTAAATATTTGCTTTTTTGTGACAGCTAACAATTTGAAAGTCTGAATCGATTTATTGGTTTGGCAAAATAATAAATAAATAATTACAAAATAATTGTGAATTCATTTTTGTATTAAACATTTTAAGGCAACCAGAGACTTTTCACGTGTGTGTCTATTTAGTGCAAAACTAGCTCTTTTTTCAACACACCTACCTACACCTTATATCAAAATCCAAATTTAATAGTTGTTTACTTTTACTGAGCACAACAATTTATCTTTAATTTCAAAAGTCGGACCCCGAAAGTAGACAACACTTTGGGCACTTCCCAGTGTTGCAGCTGACAAGCCAAAGAGTTTGAGGCACTTTCTGCTGTAGTTCCAGTTGTTGATAGTTTTCCGCAAACAATCGCAAAACAATGCTGTGGGCGTGACCACGCCCCCTTCAAAACCACAGCAGCTGGTCCTTGACCTAAGCCTGGGAAAAGATAAAGAGAAAAGAAAGCCAAACAAACACTCAAACTTTACCCATTCGCCCATTCAAATGCAAATTCGGTGCGCAAATCTTCAAATGACTTCGATTGGTTTTCTGGCCTCGGCCTTTGTTTCTGGTGGCGATCTGTCCTGGACAAAGGACCTGCTGTCTTTGGGTACTTCTAATCGGAGTGCGGACTCCACACCAACATGTAAATGCATTAAACAATGGTGGCCACAGAATTTTAACGAATTTCCCAAACCAAATTGACAATTTAATTTGATGCTGAGCGCTATTCTCAGTGTCCCGTTCCCGTACACGTTCCCATTCCTGGTTCTCTGTTTTCGAAACTTTATGAGGCCAAGTCCCATTTGCATTTCTGTGAGAACTCGATTTCCGCTCGGTCAAGTGACATGATTGATACTCCGGGGCGCCAGGAGTCGGGATCTGGGCGTCTGAATGATTCCTGGGGATTGTCCTTGCCTCGCCTGTTGCCTGCGGGCGTAAAAACAACACCCGGGGCTTTGACATGTCCGGACATGTCCAGCAGGCGGTGGCGTCACACGGGCGGAGTCCACAGACGAACACACGGACAAACGGACACTGAGGCGACGGCTCCGTACGGATAACAATGCACTGAAGGGGTGCAGGGCGTAGCATCACATCAAGTAGCCGACACGTTGCAGCTTACAAAGTTGTGTAAAATGATTTTTGTTTCCAGAGATGACAACTTGCTCGTAAGCTGGCGAATGGTTTGGTTGATAGGGAAATTCCTGGATTATAAGTTGCATTTAGGGGTTAATATAAAATGATGGGACATAAAACATGTTATGGGGCATTAAACAATTTTTTTAGAAGCCAAGTTTGAAAGATAAATTTAAAACCGTTTAAATTGAAAGTTTTTTAGATACCGTGCTTCAAAATGTTTTGCTGTTGACGTTTGCTCACTATTTTGCTTTAAAGGTTTCATAATATACTCCACTTCCAAGAAATAAATTTTCTCCGCTGCAATTTAAATTCTTAGTGGACTTCAAATTGTATTTTTTCTCAATTTTTAAATTAAGAGTGTTTTCGCGGCTTTAGTTTTCTTGATAGTTAATTAAATCATTTCTAATCCCATGTTATTATACATATATATATTGGCAAAGCAATCTCGAAACCTTGCAAGTAATTACCCCAGGGTAATAGTCTATAGCTGACGCAACGAACTCAAAGTTAGCCAGTGTGATTTTCACTTTAAAATGATTTTCAAAATAAACTTCTCTTTTGTCCAATCAACCCGTATTCTATAGATTTGCAAGCCGTTTGTTCGGCCTTTATTTTAGAAATTGAAACTTGTGGCAGCCACGTCCTCTGTGGCACAATATCAAATGCTTTTGTTTTTCTACTGGTTTCGGACTCAGACTGCAAACAATTAAGTTTGCATCTATTGAGTGACACTTTTATTTTCTTGTGGTTTCCAGGCACACCCGAAAAAAGAGACTCACACATAATATGCAAACATATGTACGCGCCAGTGTCAGTGGCAATTTCAGTTTTTTGGCAACTGCCCAGTGCTCTGGAGGGGACTTCCCCCACTTCGAAGTGTCAGATGCAATGGAGTTTTAAATAAAATGTACTTGCAATAAATTTCCGCCAGCTCTATGGAAATATATTATCAGCATATGCTGGCAGCTTCTTCTTCTTTTTGGCAAGCCACAAGCCTCGTGTCCGATTTAAATATTTAATCTGATTTCATGTTTCAATGCGTTTTCTGGTAATTTACAGTTAGTCTGCTGTTGAGTGAGACAGTAAGCAAAGAACTTTCAAATATATTGTCAAAAACCTTTTCATCTTTAAAACAACTTAACTCAAGGTACACCCTGCATTTTAATTGGACACAAATTAATCATTCAAACAATCAGCTTATGGATGCCCAAGACATTATGGTAAAGTAAACATCAATTAAATAAAGTATTTAGGCCACGTATGTTTCATAACTGCAACTTAAGGAGTCCCGTAATGACACACACAAGCGGTTTAACTTACAAAGTACATTTCTACCAATCAAGCCTTTTATATAAAAAGAATAGTAACTTAAAATAAATTATTTTAAATTGTGATAACAGAGCACCAGTTATATTCACAGAAAGTTTGATATTTTTATGCAATAATGAGTAAGCACAATTTTAGGAAGGTATTTCCTATTTATTTGGTAAAATGTTATTAACTAACATCGTGAAATATTAACATTGTGGAACATAACGAACAACCATGCAAGCAAATAAAATTCGACTTTCTTATGCACATAAAACATAAATATAATAATAGTTATTTTAGCTGTATGCATAGGTATATTAAACATTATTTGCATTGCATTTGGTATGTTGTATTTATTATAGTTGCCTACATATCGAAAATATTCTATAAACTAATTTAGTTCAGATTTTTTACAAGATTTTAATAAAGTACATTTACATTTAGAAGTTAACTGAGAAGGTGAGTATAAAATACACTGATAAGATATCATTAACTGAACATTTAATAAACCACCTTTATGTAAATTAATTTAAAATTAAAAGTATAAATTCCTCATAAATTAAAGTGTCTGTTCCATGCATTTTTAAAAATAAATTTGTTTTTTTTTTTGGCACACTATAATGTTATTTGCTAGTAAACCTACAATTCGCCACTATCCACTTGCCGCATTATTTCCAGCATTCGATCGTAGAGCATGGTTTTCACATCGCTTCCCCATATAAAGTCGATGTGGTTAAACCGGGGATTTGGAATCAGGTAATCGTGCACCACATTTGGCAGATTGTCCCTTAAACGTTCCACATCTTTGTAGGAGGTTAGGCGATCGTTTTTACCGTAGTACAGTGCCACTTTGCAGTCAACGTTGGCCACTTTGTACTGTGGCGGAGTGTCGGCACCGTATCTTCTTCGATTCTCCCAGGCGTTGTAGTAATCGTACTTGAAGAATCCCCCGCTTTGGATCTGTTGACCATAGTGCTCCACCGATTTAAGTGACGAACCCGAGGATGAGTGTCCCGTGATAAGCGGCACAAGGCTTATATTAAACTGTTGGTTATCCACACCCGTTAGTTCCTGGATGAAATAGGTGCAGGTGTTCTGGAAAGCGAAGCTGCAGATTTGGTGGACGAGTCGCCGCCACACTTCGTTCTCCGCCGGAAATTCGTAAAGCCCCAATGATCTGGCAAGAAACTGAAAAGAAACAAAATGAATCCATTTAGATTTTAATTGTAAGGCTCACAGAACAGAGTAATAACTTAAACAAACAGATATTTTCAGCAGGCTTAGCCGCAGTTGTTAAAGATCTAATCACTTTTTTTACATCTTATGCACAAACCTTATTTATGTTTTTCTTTCTTTAGCTTTAACAGATCATTATTTTAATTTGATTGTTAAATTAAATATTAAAGAGTTACGCTTTTCGCAAATAAAAAGACCCATTTGCCCTTTAGGTTTATAGTCGTCTTTGATTTTTCTTCTTAACTCAAGCATACAAGAATAAAGAAATTACAAAATCACAGCAAAATTGGGAAACGCGTACTAAATTAATTGACCAATCTTTAATTAATTAACGAGATTTGGTGGCTTAGTGTAATAGTAAATATTTCTTTTAAATCTTCAAGCTTACAGCCAAGGGTCTCATATACTTGACGAAGGGGAGAAGGGGTGAGTCGATATAGTCAAAATAGGCCACCGGAGCGAGAGCCTGCATCAACTTTATTTTCTTCATGTAAGCGGGTCGCTCACTGCCCATCACAAAAAAGGAGGTGGTGCCCTGCGAATGGCCGACGTAGTGAACCTGTTCGAAGCCCTTGCTCCTCGCCAGGACATAATCAATGGCTGCCGGGAGATCGTACACCCCGATTTCGTGGAAGGAGAAGTCCCAGAACTGCGGTTGGTATCGGTGGAAGCGCTTGTGCTTGCGCGAATACCGATTACCTCGGGTATTTAGCAGCCATATATCGTATCCCAGATCGCTGAGCAGGTAGCCCAGGGACTTTTCCGGTCCCAAGATCACATATGTCACGGAACTTTCCAGCAGACCGTGCACCATCAACACGGGTTGACCACCGGGCCTTGGAATACGATGAGCCGTAAGGACAAAGCCATCCTTGGCTTGAATCTTGTGGGTTTCCGCCGGATAGCCATACTTCTTGATTAGATCCGGCTATTGCGAAATAAAATTATATATTAACGATATATGTTATATTTTCGTTGGTTTTTTTTTTCGATTTAATAAAAATCTTACAGTGATTAGATTGGCATCCTCCAAAATGTTTTTGTCGACCTTTATTAAGCCGCATGAAACAATATCACAATAAAAATATAGACTGATCAAAGTGCCACACAAGTACTTCACATTACAGCTTCTAAACATGTTGCCCTCCTATTACTTTGCTTCGATCACAACAATTGGCAACATGCACTATGAAATTGACAGAATTAATTTAAGCAAGCGAAATTGGCCAATCAAGTGCTTTAGCCGAGATCTGTTTCTGTTAATAGTGCATGTGGAAATTGTTTTAAGTTGCAGATAATCGATGCGGAAAAGATTTCAGAACTAATTTTCGCCTAATAATAGTATTTCCTTGTTTAAATCTTCTTAATTTCATTAGTCACTGTTGTCCGAAGTTTTCACCAACAATGACACTGATCTTGAATATCATTTTTACATTCACCAGCAATTAAAACTCCGATTTAATTGAAAGTAACACTTAGCCAAAAAATTAGTTTGGTAGTTTTATCACAAATATAATTTTTTGCTCATTTCGATATCCTTTTCGATATCCCGAAGTCCTGTCCTATATCAGAACCTTTAATAATTAGCTTAGCGTCGTAAAGTTTATTAGAATTAGAACTACTCCCGTTGCGCGATCATTTGCCACTGAGCAATTGAATTTATTGATTCGATCAGCTAATTTTAGTTGGTGAAGCTAGTTAGGCCGCTCCCCCCCTTGACCCGATTGCATCTCACGTGAATCAGGGCAATCAATATGCATAAAATTGAATTCTCTCATTGCTAAGAACATATTAAACGAGTTTCCATAGCAAGGCAAGTGGAAATGGAAGTGGAAATAGCAACAAGGTGACAGGTGAGAAAGGTCGTTTAAAACTGATGCGAAAACTTAAAAGCGCTTTGATAAGCTGATAAATCACCCATAATTGTTAATCAGTCACAGAATTTGAAATTAATAGTGTTTAAGCGAAAACTGTTTTCAAGCCAAATGCAATTATTTAGCAAACACGCTAAATAAATTAACAAAAGGTAATCAAACTTAGTTCGAGGAAAGTCACTTTTTTAAAAACAACCATGTGGTCCAACTTTTAAACTGAAACTATTTATTTGCAATAAAATTAGAATATGAGAGACAAGAAATATTTGGGGATTTAAAATTTATATTGGAATATATTAACATCGGCCTTTTTTCATACAGAGAGAATTAAATCTTGTAATTTGTATTTGAGTTGTAGTGTCTTGCAAACATTAACCAGATAATAAATCATTATTATTTTTTATAGTTTTTGTTTTATGTATATTATTATTATTATATTATTATTATATTCAGTTCCTGGCTTTTCATTACTTGAAACATTCCATCCCAGACAAGCTCCTTTGCATCGATGCCCCAGATCAGGTCCAAATGGTTGAAGTTTTTATTTGGCACCAAGTATTTGTCCACCACCTTTGGTAAGATCTTAGACAACTTACAGTTATTCCATTAATTTAGTGCTAGTGTAATTAAAATTAACTAACATTGTGGAATGTAAGTATAACAACAAACCATGTCCTGGAATAAAGCAAGCAAATAAAATTCGATATTCTTATATACTAGAAATATATATAATAATAGTTATTGAACCTGTATGGATAGGTATATTAAACATTATTTACGTTGTATTTGGTATGTTGTATTTATTATAGTTGCCTAAATTTCGATTTATGTTTAGCTACTTTAAATTGAGCTAGCAAAAAAAAAAATTTTTGTTCTATTGTATTCTATAAGCTTAATCCGCAATTTAGTTCAGATTTTTTGTAAGATTTGTATAACGTACATTTTCAGTTAGAAGTTAACTGAGAAGGTAAGTACAAAATACATTGATAGGATAACTTTAACCGAACATTTTATAAATTTAATTAAAATTAATAGTATATATTCCTCACAAATTAAAGTGTCTGCTCCAGGCATTTTTAAAAATAAATTTGGTTTCCTTTTTTGACACACTATAATGTTATTTGGTAGTAAACCTACAATTCGCCACTATCCACTTGCCGCATTATTTCCAGCATTCGATCGTAGAGCATGGTTTTCACATCGCTTCCCCATATAAAGTCGATGTGGTTAAACCGGGGATTTGGAATCAGGTAATCGTGCACCACATTTGGCAGATTGTCCCTTAAACGTTCCACATCTTTGTCGGAGGTTAGGCGATCGTTTTTACTGTAGTACAGTGCCACTTTGCAGTCAACGTTGGCCACTTTGTACTGTGGAGGAGTGTCGGCACCGTATCTTCTTCGATTCTCCCAGGCGTCGTAGTAATCGTACTTGAAGAATCCCCCGCTGTGAATCTGTTGGCCATAGTGCTCCACCGATTTAAGTGACGAACCCGAGGATGCGTGTCCCGTGATAAGCGGCACAAGGCTTAGATTAAACTGTTGGTTATCCACACCCATTAGTTCCTGGACGAAATAGTTGCAGGTGTTCTGGAAAGCGAAGCTGCAGATTTGGTGGACGAGTCGCCGCCACACTTCGTTCTCTGCCGGAAATTCGTAAAGCCCCAATGATCTGGCAAGAAACTGAAAAGAAACAAAATGAATCGATTTAGATTTTAATTGTAAGGCTCACAGAACAGAGTATAGGTACATAGTCTTTATTGATATACCTTCTTAACTCAACTCATAAAATAATTTTATTTTACTTTATTAAAATTGTTTTTTTCATTTGATTTACAAACTGTCAAATCTTTAATTTGGGAAAGGCGTACTAAATTGCAATTTCAATTATTTTTATAAATAAATATATATATATATATATATATATTTATAAATAAATTCTTTAAGAATCAATCAAACAACTGAAAAAAACGTGATTTTCTTTTATCTAAGAACTTAATTGTTTTATGCTTAAAAAAGTAATTTGTATTTATATTCAAAATGAAGTGTTCTTAACGAAATTAACGAGGTTTGGTGGCTTGGTGTTATAGTAAATATATTTTTTTAATATTCAAGCTTACAGCCAAGGGTCTCATGTACTTCACGAAAGTCAGGAGAATGGGTGAGTCGATATAGTCCCAATAGGCCACCGGAGCGAGAGCCTGCATCAACTTTATTTTCTTCATGTAAGCGGGTCGCTCACTGCCCATCACAAAAAAGGAGGTGGTGCCCTGCGAATGGCCGACGTAGTGGACCTGTTCAAAGCCCTTGCTCCTCGCCAGGACATAATCAATGGCTGCCGGGAGATCGTACATCCCGAGTTCGTGGAAGGAGAAGTCCCAGAACTGCGGTTGGTATCGGTGGAAGCGCTTGTGCTTGCGCGAATACCGATTACCTCGGGTATTTAGCAGCCATATATCGTATCCCAGATCGCTGAGCAGGTAGCCCAGGGACTTTTCCGGTCCCAAGATCACATATGTCACGGAACTGTCCAGAAGACCGTGCACCATCAACACGGGTTGACCACCGGGCCTTGGAATACGATGAGCCGTAAGGACAAAGCCATCCTTGGCTTGAATCTTGTGGGTTTCCGCCGGATAGCCATACTTCTTGATTAGATCCGGCTATTGCGAAATAAAATTATATATTAATGATATATGTTATATTTTCGTTGGTTTTTTTTTCGATTTAATAAAAATCTTACAGTGATTAGATTGGCATCCTCCAAAATGTTTTTGTCGACCTTTATCAAGCCGCATGAAACAATATCACAATAAAAATATAGACTGATCAAAGTGCCACACAAGTACTTCACATTATAGCTTCTAAGCATGTTGCCCTCCTATTACTTTGCTTCGATCACAGCAATTGGCAACATGCACTATGAAATTGACAGAATTAATTTAAGCAAGCGAAATTGGCCAATCAAGTGCTTAAGGAGAGATCTGTTTCCATTAATAGTGCATGTAGAAAATTGTTTTAAGTCGCAGATAATCGATGCGGAAAAGGTTTCAGAACTAATTTTCGCCTAATAATAGTATTTCCTTGTTTAAATCTTCTTAATTTCATTAGTCACTGTTGCCCGAAGTTTTCACCAACAAATACACTGATCTTGAATATCATTTTTACATTCACCAACAATTAAAACTCCGGTCATAAGGGAATTATAAGAATTCCCTATTTTAGTTAATGAGTTTGATTTTAGTACATAATACTACAAACAAACTTATGTCCTTTGGATTGAATTTCTTCAATATATAAAACAGTTTTTTTATCCGTTTTTTGCTTTGATTTTTTGATAACCTTTATTAAAATATTTAGTTTTTATGTTTTTTGCAATAATTGTCTGCTGTTTTATTTAATTTTTGAAATATTTTCAAATAATTCAATTATGATCCCGATTTAATTGACGATCACACTTAGCCAAAAAAGGAGTTTGGCAGTTTTATCACAAATATAATTTTTTGCTCATTTCGACATCCTTTTCGATATCCCGAAGTCCTGTCCTATATCAGAACCTTTTGTAATTAGCTTAGCGTCGTAAAGTTTATTAGAATTAGAACTACTCCCGTTGCGCGATCATTTGCCACTGAGCAATTGAATTAAGTCGTGTGCCTTTTTTGATCCGAACAGCTATTGCATCTGATCCCTTGCCCCTATTGCATCTCACGTGAATCAGGGCAATCAATATGCATATCATTGTAATCCCTCATTGCTTAGAACATATTAAACGAATTTCCATAGCACGGCAAGTGGAAATGGAAGTGGAAATAGCAACAAAGTGACAGGTGAAAAGGTCGTTTAAAACTGACGAGAAAACTGTAAAGCGCTTTGATAAGCTGATAAATCACCCATAATTGTTAATCAGTCACAGAATTTGAAATTAATAGTGTTTAAGCGAAAACTGTTTTCAAGCCAAATGCAATTATTTAGCAAACACGCTAAATAAATTAACAAAAGGTAATCAAACTTAGTTCGAGGAAAGTCACTTTTTTAAAAACAACCATGTGGTCCAACTTTTAAACTGAAACTATTTATTTGCAATGAAACTAGAATATGAGAGACAAGAAATATTTGGGGATTTAAAATTTATATTGGAATATATTAACAAGGCAGATTTCATACAGAGAGAATTAAATCTTGTAATTTGTATTTGAGTTGTAGTGTCTTGCAAACATTAACTAGATATTAAATCATTATTATTTTTTATAGTTTTTATTTTATGAATATTATTTAAAACTATAAGCAGCAATATTCGGTTCCTGACTTTTCATTACTTGGAACATTCGGTCCCAGACAAGCTCCTTTGCATCGATGCCCCAGATCAGGTCCAAATGGTTGAAGTTTTCATTAGGCACCAAGTATTTGTCCACCACATTGGGCAGTCTCTGGTAAAGTAGTTCCACATCCTCCGGCGGTGCCAACCAGTCGTTGTTGCCGTAATACAGAGCCACCTTGGTCCGGACATTCTCCAGTTTGTAGGTTGGTGGCCAGAGGCTTCCGTAATGCATGAGGTTGTCCATTCCGTAGTCAAAGAGCTGGAACTTGCGCGAGTTCCTCAGCTGTCCGTAGTGATGCATCTGCTTGGTGGATGCTCCAGCCGGAGTGTGACCCACCAGAACTGGGAGCATTGTCTCATTTAACTGCATCCGGTCGAATCCGAAAATGAGGAAGAGCAAATTCTCACAAACCTGGTTGGAAATGGTCGTATCGTGGCAGGCTAATCGCTTAAAGGTGTTAATCACATTGTTATTGGGCAGGAATTCATGATATCCCATCGATCTTAGGAGGAACTGAAAACGAAAGGGATTGGATTATACTTTTAGTTCTATTGCAAAAGCATACACATTTTCACTTACGGCAACCGCTGCATCCCGATCGGACAAGAAGTTCACAACGGGACTGCGACAGTGGGTCAAGAAGGCCACCGGGGCCAAGGCCTGCATCATAAGGATCTTCTCCATGTACTCTGGTCTCTCACTGGCCAGGATCCAAAATGAGACCGTTCCCTGAGAGTGACCCACATAGTGCAGCTGGCTGAAACCCGTTTGCATCAGCACAAAGTCAATTGTGCTGGGCAGATCGTGAATGCCCATCTCATGGAACGAAAAGTCCCAAAACTGAGGGTCATCAGTGGAGTACCTGACATGGCGTTTCGAATAGGTATTGCCCCGCACATTGGCCAACCAGACATCGTAGCCCTGTTCATAGAGTAAGTACCCTTCGGAAGAGATTTAATCTCAGTGAGGTTATAACAGAAGGGAAGTACTGACCGTACCCAGTGATTTTGTTGGTCCCATCATCACCCAAGTGGCCGAGCTATCCAGCAGTCCGTGCACCATCAGTACGGGAATGGCTCCAGGGCGGGCGATCCTAAACACTCCCAATATGTATCCGTCTTCGGTCTGCACTGTGTAATTCTCAGCCGGATATCCATATTTATAAATCAGTTGGAACTGGGGAAAGAAACGAATGTTGATTAATAACTATAAATAACTATTTATATTCAGATAAGCTCTTAAAATTCAGAACACCTATTATTAAGAACGCACGAGTCGCTAAGACCGTAGCTAATTGCCGTGTAGTCTGAACCCTATAAAAAGGTAACAATAAAATGAGTCACTTTGTGACTACACTGAGCTGCTAAGTTTTTGCAAAAAATAATATAGTAGTATATACATAACACTTCTGTGATAAATTCAACATTGAGAAAGTACCCAGGTCAATATTTCTGCAGTTAGTTTTTTGAAGCGGGTTGCTCCTGAAGCAATTATATCTAATTTAATAGCTTAATTGCTCTGTTCTTATTTAAGTTATTTCCAAATGATTCGTTTTGCTTACCGTATCTAATTGTGCATCTTCAAGAACGTTTGGTGGAATATCAAGTCGAAAAGGGTTTTTAATTGCGTTAGTTTCCTGCTGACAAAGGCCCAGGAAAAAGACCATAATGAATATATTTTCAGTCGACAGTAACGACATCTCTAGGTATTTTTTAGAGAATAGCTTTTTTGGTCCGATCTGTTTGAGATCCCAGTGCTAACTAAAATGAATGATGCTCAAAAAGCGCAAAATCATTTTCAAAGCGGTACAAATTCCACTCCAATACCTATGAATGTAATTTACATCTGAAGCGAGCTAATTAGCAAATGATTTTTATAGAGATAAAACAGCCTTGACGTATATATAGGAAATTTTCAGACGATCGCAGTAGTGACTAATGGCTCCAAATTATAGATCTTGTTCATCTTAATCATTACTTAGCAGTAAAATAGTAATAACGTAATAAATTCATAGACATTATACGTAATAACTTGTGATTTTATTGTATTTCCTCATTTTATCTTTGCTTTTACTTCTACAAAATAATAAATACCTAAAAATAAACCTCACTAACGCATAACATACTGTAAATAATTAAATTATAACCATTAACCTATATTATATACCCCATTAAATAACAGAATTCTCATGATTTCTCATGTTTTCCAGCATTCGGTCCCACAGCAATTCCCTGGCATCGATGCCCCAGATGAAATCCAAGTGGTTGAACTCCTTGTCCTCCACCAGATATTTTTCCACCACATTGGGCAGTTCTCGGTGCAGCATTTCCACATCCTCCGGCGGAGCCAGCCAGTCGTTTTGGCCGTAATACAGGGCCACCTTGGCCCTCACATTCTTCAGATGGTAGGATGGCGGATCGATGGTGCCGTAGCGCCAGTGGTTCCTCAGCCATCCGTAGTCGTACTGCCGGAAGGCACCCGACCTCTTGAGCTGCCCAAAGTGCTGCATCTGCTTGGTGGAGGCTCCGGCCGGAGAATGGCCCACGATCACCGGAAGCATCGTCTCGTTCAGCTGCAACCTGTCAAATCCGGTGGTCAGGAAGATGACGTTCGAGCATATCTCCTTCGTAATGGTTGTCTCGTCGCAAATGATCCGATTGAACATGCTGATGAACTCATTCTTGGGCAGAAACTCGTGCACGCCAATCATCTTGAGAACCAACTAAAATAGGGAGCAATCACATAAGTAAAATGTAAGTTTTAAAAAGACGGCAGTGGAAAAGAGGTTTGTGATTGGATATGGTCAAGGTCCGCTTGCAAAATCATTACATTCCGATATTGGAGAGTCATCTTTTATCTTTGATAGGTTACATAGAGAAAATTGCGATGAAAATTGGCTTTAACGGGTACGTACTCATTTTGAGTACAGATTTTTCCTTTGAACTCAAGATATTTAAGAACAAATACTTAATGAAAATTTAAATAGTATAGTATTACTTTAAAAGAACCTCTTTCTTTTGGATTGATTGAATTTGTGGCTTTATGACTTACTTTGTGTTGACATTATTGACTAGTTGTTCAACAATAATACTTTTTTCCCTAACTTTAATATTCAGTAGTGGAGAAGTAGATTTGAATTAAAATAGTTAGTCACACCATCAAGTTATTGATAAACAAATGATTATTAAACAACAGAAATGATTTATAATTCAAGTGCTACCCATTTCCATGACTATGCACACACATATACCAATGCCAAAACCTTCTTTTAGAGGATGGGATATTAAGGATGGGGTAACTTACGCTCACCGATAGATGAAACTCGGCCAGGAAGTTGACCACGGGGCTCCGGCAGTGCTTGAGGAAGGCCACTGGGGCCAAGGCCTGCATCAGGACGATCTTGTCCATGTACTCGGGCCGCTCACTGCCCATGATCCAGAAGACCACTGTTCCCTGGGAGTGACCGATGTAGTGCAGCTGGCTGACCCCCGTGGCGTTCAGTATATAGTCGATCGTGCTGGGGATATCGTGCTTGCCCATATCGTGGAAGGTAAAGTCCCAGAACTTGGCGTGGTGGGTGCTGTACTTCACGTGCTTCCTCGAGTACGTGTTGCCCCGAACATTGGCCATCCAGACGTCGTACCCCTGATCGTAGAGCAGGTAACCTTTGGAACATAAAAGCACAATCAGTATGGAGCGTTGCGAGATAGCCTCTGATCTTACCAAGTCCCTTGTTGGGTCCCATCATCACCCATGTGGCTGAGCTGTCCAGCAGGCCATGAACCAATAGCACTGGCGTTGCTCCGGGACGAGCGATCCTGTGCAGGGTGAGTATATATCCGTCGTCCGTCTCCACGGTATGATTCTCCGCCGGGTAGCCATATTTTTGAATAAGACTGTACTGTAAAAGCGATGATATCAGAGATTGAGGTCAATGAATTTTATATAATATTCGAATAGTATTATTTAGAGGCAAGAATATTGTGTAACTAGACAGCTAGACAGCTGTTTGTGATCCCCTTTATATTCAGGTTATAATTAAAATTTTTACTAGCAATAACGTCTACCACACTGAGCCGTATAATCAGTTTGATCTTGTTACGCTCGAGTAAGTTGATCTTGATCGGTCAATTTGACCTAATTATATTTCATAGTAATTAAAAGCTTTGATTTTATTAGTCACCAAGAAGCATGTGAATGTCTTCTCTTTCCCTAGAAAAAATTAAATTAAATTAAAACAATATTTACTAATTACAATATCAACTATCAATGAGTTGATAAATCACAGTAAGCAGTATGTAAAAATATTAATTAATTAGGAAAATGAAAAACAAGTTTTATTTCTACAACTGAACAAATGCTTAGTTCATAAAATAAGCAAACAATAACAAATGCTTTAGAGTTAAGTCATATCTTTTGAAATATTTTCTCACGGAATTTGTACTTTAATTACTAGCTTACTTGGCACTTAAGTTGAAATAGGTATTGAGTTAGTTATTAAGTCCGTATATCTAGCATTTAACTTACGGTATTTAAATGCGAATCCTCCTGTATATTGGGATCCACATCGTTTTCAATCCGCAAATTGCTGTCCACCGCCACTGAGCGACCCAGAAAACTGGGCGATTTGAACATAACATTAAAGAGGGTTACGTTTCCAAATGACAAAGATAGACCCTCAACGATTCCCGACTGCAGTAGGGCCAGAGTTAGGGTCGTTACTAGTATTTTTGCGGTCATTTCACCAATTTTACTGCCTAACTAAATAAGTATATATTATTGTATAATAAATTCAGGGTCTAGCGCTGTGGACGCGATCGGTGCGAGGCACAATTGTTGACTGATGACAGTCCCGATTGGCGGCAACAAAGAAACCTTCTGTGAGCACGAGATATTCGACACTATTCGAATAATCAGCACTGGTCCGTCCGTCCACGTATAATACTTTCGATTGAATTGAATCACGGGGGCACAGTGTTAGCTGGGTACGCCGATAACCTGCCCGCTTGTCGTCACTGGCCGATGGCTGATAAGCGGAGAGTCCGGCTTGGAATGGTCTTGACTTTGGATCCACTTACGCACGAGATGTCAAAGCCGCCGGCCCCCAGCGGCAACTGAAGATGTTTTGTCGTTATTCAAAAATATTACGCCAAGGGGATCCACCTTAGCAACATTCGCTCGGCTCGGTAAACAAACAATCCAACATGTTGCCAGGCCAATTGAAGGGGATTCGCCCCAACTCAACTTCAACCCACCGCGAATAACAACTGGTTGTTGCTCTGCTCAGCCGGAAAGATAAAAATATATAATATATAATATATTTTATTAATTACTGACACGCTTTGTGAATCATTGCTGGCTTAGTTTTTCAGTTGCATGCAAACAGTAGTGCCTAATATGGATTAGAGAATGGAACCCCTGTGACCTAGCAATGGGATTCAGGGAATTTCAAGATCTCAAACCTGATTAAAACACTATTAAAGGTTAAAGTGCTTTTGAATATTGTTCTAAGAAGACAAAGTCCACTTGTGGGACTATAAACACGAAGCAACAATTAAATTATTAACACAATGTCATAATTAATTATTTTTCTCAATTGGATTAGAAGAAATATTACCCCTTCCTTCAGTCATTACACTAATTTATTATGCACTTGAATTGCCAACTACCCGTCAATTTAGTTATCATGTTAATTACGCAATAATTAAAAAATTTACATTTTTTACGAGCTGTTGGATTTGATTAGCAATTATTCATTATTGAACCTAAACACTTTTCGGAGTTATAAAAGCAACAATATACATTATTTTTCTGTATGGAAATTTATTCAAAAAGTGAAAGTGCCCTAGTGTCCTTTCAAATAGAAAAATTATCATATTTTTCAATATAATATATAGACTTTTTGCATTTATATGAATACTAAACATATGTCATATTTACCTTTAAAACACCTTTGCATTTGTTGGAAGATCGATTATTCGACTTTATGAAATATATAAAAAAAAGTGGCGGAGCGAAAAATATGGATTTTTATGTGACATGTACGAAAAGGTGGTTTTGAAAATATTGTGCTTAACATGTTTAATAAACCAATGGCTTTGTAACACCCCCACAAATGTAATTAATTTTTAAAACCAGTATTTTGAGTATTCCGAAACGGCAGTGTTTCCCGTTTCTCATTCTCGTCTCTAATCCACTGAAACGTAACCGCTCTCACGATTCCGACGCTATCGGTTTTGGTCAGCAAATTACTCATAGACTGGCAGCAACAAAATAAGTGATTACTTATTAATTATTTCCCGATCAAAGTGCAATCAACAAAGTCAGAGTGCGAGACGAGTGCTATTTTCGGTATTAATAAACATTTATCAAATTTATCGCACTTTGATGGAGGCAATCGCAAAGGGCATGATAAACGAATCTCAGTCCGACACACGAATTGAAATTAATTTTAGAAATTTCGTATTTGCGAGAAGTAAACACAAATGCTAAGGCAGATAAAGGGAACGAGGGGGTGGTGCTTATCTCACCGACCAGTTGTGGGAGCTAAGTAGAGCTGAGTGTTATTCAATTGTTAAGTGTAGCTTATTCTGCATTTAACGAGCAAACAAACACGCACTCGCACACAGGGACACTCAAAACAATAATAATGACAATTTAAAAAAATGCAATTAAATTGCCTTTATAATAAATAAAAGAAAGTACTTAACAAATCAATAAATAAAAGTTAAATTAAACATAACTAAAAATAATATAACAATATTTATAAAATATTTTCTAGTCGGTTACATTAAAGTTAAGGTTCGGATACAATCGCATTTCTCAAAAAAATATTTTGATGCTTGATTTTTAAATGCTAGGAATAAGACCTTAATAAATTAAAAAAAAAAACACAAAGTTAGAATTTAATTTAAAACAAAATTATAAATAAAGAGACTGTTAAAATAAACTACTTCATAAAACAAAGGTTATCAAGCTCTTGAAAAAAATCAAAACTCTTCGTTTTGAAAGCGACAACCCGATGTGTTTTTCCCAGTGTACACTCGCAGCTACAGCTACAATTTGCGGCGATGGCTACGCAGATATTTGCTATGCAAATCAGCACGAACAATGCGCAGTTCATTAAATGAGCTGTTGAGCATAAATATATAAATTTATGCATGTTGTTATCGCCCCTTCCCGCCCTTTGAACCGCCCCATCAGCATTTGCAATGTCAGCTTCAAACTGCATTATCATATGAAAAGCTTTCCGACTCAAAACTCGTTTTGTTTCAGCAACACTTTGTGGCCAGCAACATGCTGCCCTGGCTAATCGACATACTGGTCAATTCAATGACATTTGAAATGGATTTCCATATTATTTACTGTGTGGCTGGATTTTTCTAAACGCAAATATTGAAATTCCCAAGCCAGTCCCTCTAACTCATGGCATTTTCGGACTTTTTAATTTCCCTCTCGGGCATTTGGCATAGCCACCACAAGCCGCAAACGATTTTGCCTGTCACAAAGTGCGGCCGATTGGCTTAAAAAGTTATATTCAAACTTTTGATAGTTTACAAAAAGTGAGGCGGAAAGATAGTGGAAGGAAAGGAGAGGATACCAAGCCATTCGATTTAAATCCAATGACAAGTATTTGTTTGCAAACGACCGAAGAGATGCGAAAATGACAAGGCTGAAAAAATACAAGCCTTAGTAATTGAAGATAATTTCTAAAGTCAATCCAAGAAATATTGAATGGCAAAACTGGAGGAGATAAGAAGACGGATTTGTTTTTAAATATTTCGGAAGTAAATCTTCAATCAGCTCTTATACGTTTGCTTAAGGTATTATAATTTCAGTAAAAAGTTTAAATTTAAAGATACATTTCCGACATTTTAAACATATAAGCATATCAATACAATTAAAAAATACATTAAATCAAATACGTAATAGTTTTATTGATTGTTACCTTTTTCTTTATACTAATTTGTATTCTTCTTGTTTAATACATTTTTAGTTATATTTATGATAGATACATTTTTAGCCGACTTGTCTTTCTACATTTAATTTTACTTTGTTCGTAGCAACAAGTTAAATTCCCTTCGCTTAACATTAAACACTTTAACTTCAAAAGGCCCCTGAAAATACCAGAAAATCCAGCACTTGAAAACACACATGAAATCCGTTGAAGCATTGAATCTGCGACCTACTAACGACTCTCAAGCAGAAAAGGGGGTGAAATCAATGTGCAAATCTCATAAGATGCGGGCGTTTTGGGACCCCTCTTGGGGGATGGGAAATTCCCTCGCCATAAGACAAATTTCGCAAATTCTCGGGTGCGGGACTGAACCCGTAAGTGCTCAGTGTGTCAATGTGGCAAATGTATCTGTAGCTCGCATCACTGTATCTTTACGTATCTGCACCTCACTGCTAACCCTCTGAACACGTACTCTGCTCGTTGCTCGGATCAATTTCCAGAACAAGATTTATGCGCTCGCCAAAAAGGGGCCATAAAATATTTATTGTTTTCAAGTTGCATGGCCATGATAAGCGGCTGGAAAAGTAGCAGTCGCCTCAGGATAAGAGGGGGTTGGCCCAAGGATAACAGAACAAAGAGCAACAGGAACAATTCTTATCCTTATCCTGTAATGCGATACCAGTCGGGTGAGTGGGGGGTTAAGGGCTTGATATATTACCTTTAAATAGAAATTTATTTTCTTGCCAAGTTCGAAATTTAAATGAGAATGGGAAATAGATGAGGGCTCAGAAATCAATTTTAATTATGAGAGAGTCTTGCAATCGTCGTAGTTGCTTTTAAAATATACAAGCCTGTAAACCTGCTTTATTAAATTTTTATTTTTATAAAAATTAATATTAATATTGCCCTATTTGTCTGAGCGGATTACATACAAATTAAGTACAGAATCCTATTTTTGGTGCTTCTTAAATAATTTCAAAAATAAATATTAGGTTCACAGTTTGTCCCCAAACAAAGTATTTACTTATCCCGCACACTTCCACATGTGTTATTCAAATTCATTTAATCTGCGTCTGAATTTAACCCTTCAATGCCCGCAACATCTGCAGCGATTTATACAAATAATTAACTGTCAACTGCAGGCAGCGAATCGTCGGAATTTTCCGCTTTTCCTGCCCCTTCCAGCTAAGCGACACCTTGAGGGATCAGCATCCCTACACTTGAAATTATAGGCAATCCTGCTGGCTTTTCGGGAAATGTGAAAAATGAAAAATATAAATAAGTGTTGTTGATTGTTTGCCAGCCACGAGGATATCGACGGAAAGAGGGCAGGGTGATTTATAAAAATGTGCGAGAAAAATGATTTTTGCACGCCTCAGAGCCGTTGACAGGCTCAAACATCAGCCATCAGCCATCAGCTCTTGGCTCGTCTTCCACTGCCACTGCTGCTCTCCGGGCTGCCAAAGTCATTAACTCGACAAACCGCCAACGTCAGCCGCTCAGCTAGAGATGGAATATACATATTTATGGCTAGGGCAAAGATATTTACTAGTTCCATAGAATTTACTAAATTCAATAGACTTAAATAATACCTGACAAAATATGTGTAATTTTCAAAACTGAATTAATATTTTTATTTTAGAGCTTTATTTTACATTATTTATTTTAAGAAACAAAATTACCAAATTTTTTTGCTGTAAATCCAGCTTTTTACTTTGAAAAGTTCCCAAGTTGTAACAATTTAATTTAAAAAAAAAAAACCATCTAAAGCGTTACCTGGGACAATCCATTAACGATATAATTTTGATTTTAAGATTTCGGATGATCCAGTACCGGGCTATGATGGGCAACGAAATTCCAATATTTTCAGAGACGCACTAGAGTAAATGCTGCTGTTGCCGTACCGTTCCAAATTTCTCTTTGAAAATTTAAAAATAGCATTTAACTGTTTCCCTACAAAAATGCCCAAAAATATGCCTTTTCTTACACGATTTGAGCCTACTCTCCCCTTAAAAGTTTGTATAAATACATTATTTAGGAGCCCTACGAAATAGAAACGAAAGTATTGTGCTTTATAAGAAAGAAACCAAATTAACTACATATTTTTGAAATATTGCAAGATCTCTATTATATTAATTAAATTATTATTAAATTGT